CTGCCGGAAAGGTGCAGAGCTAATAGAGTGATTGGTTGGTTGATTGATTGGCTTATTGATTGGTTGGTTGGTTGGTTGGTTGGTTTACTGATTGGTTGGCTGGTTGGTTGGTTGGCTGGTTGGTTGGTTGGTTGGTTGGTTGGTTGGTTTACTGATTGGTTGACTGGTTGGTTGGTTGGTTGGTTGGTTGGTTGGTTGGTTGGTTTGCTGGTTGGTTGGTTTACTGATTGGTTGGCTGGTTGGTTGGTTGGTTGGTTGGCTGGTTGGTTGGTTTACTGATTGGTTGGTTGGTTGGTTGGTTGGTTTACTGATTGGTTGACTGGTTGGTTGGTTGGTTGGATGGTTTGTTAAGGAGCAGGTTTGTGTTGATCTCCTCTGGAGGTGAACATGATGAACATGAATCAGGTTTTTCCTGTGAATGTGGGCGGAGCCTGACCCGTGAGGAGGCAGCAGAGCCAGCCCAGTCAGAACCAGAACCAGGACGGTTCCTGACCCTGCTGCTGTTCTGTGTTGCAGGAAGTGTCCCGACGGGTTCGACTGCCTGAAGACGGGCAGAAACCCAAACTACGGCTACACCAGCTTCGACACGTTCGGCTGGGCCTTCCTGTCGCTGTTCCGGCTGATGACCCAGGACTACTGGGAGAACCTCTACCACCACGTAATGACGCTCTGGGTCGCACTCTGACCCGCTGGGGCATTCTGGACGCAACAACCAGATGCTCCTGAGTTCATGTCTGAAATAAACTTTAATGTTAAACTCTTCAGTAACTCCTGAAGATTTAAGCTTTTTAACCATTCAACATTGTCATCGTTGGATTTTTCCCCAACTGCTGGTTAAATATTTAACTTTATCTAACATTGTTCATATTTTAGTCGCGTCTACCTGCGGGTTGTTTCAGGCTCTAAATGATCAAATCAAAGGAAACTGGATAGATGATCTTCTTTACTGAAGATGTTCTGGTCCAGAAGGTTTCTCAGGTTCTGAACATTGTTGCTCCATTAGTGACCCAATCAGAAATGCTTATGACTGTCTACTTTGAACATTGAATGTACCTGAATATGCATTAATATGTGGAAACCGTCTTAGTGCTACCGCTAAGAAGCTAACATGTTAGCTAACATGTTAGGTCTGATCTTTGCTCTGTTTGTTTTTAAGATGCTAATTTGGCTCATCATATGTTCCCCTCACGGTGCTCAGAGTTAGAATTAGTTATTGATTATTGAAACAATCAGACCTGGAGAAGAGAGGAAGTGATGTCACACACCTGCAGCCTCACCGCTGCTGCTTCCTGTCTGGTCCAGACGCTGCGGTCGGCCGGGAAGACCTACATGGTGTTCTTCGTGGTGGTCATCTTCCTGGGCTCCTTCTACCTGATCAACCTGATCCTGGCCGTGGTCGCCATGGCGTACGAGGAGCAGAACCAGGCCACCATCGCCGAGGCGTGTCAGAAGGAGCGCGAGTTCCAGCAGGCCATGGAGAGACTGAAGAAAGAGCAGCAGGTGGGTTGGGGTCAGCAGGTCACCACCTCCCGTCCGCTCCAGCCTGTTGACCAGAACTCCTCCGTCCTCCAGATGGCGGCGCAGAAACCGCCGGACTCCGACTCCCTGACCTCACCAGACCTCTCACCTCTTGGCCCGCCGCTGGACAGCTCCGAGGAGCGGAGGCGGAGCCAGGCGCTGATGGGTGTGGCCGACGGGGAGGGGAACCTGTCGGAGGAGAAGCTGCTGCAGGTGGACTTGATGGACGGGGGAAAGGTGAGTCTGAACCGGCGCCGGGCGTCACCCTTTCAGAATAAAAGCCTCACGGCTCCGCCCCGCTGCGCCGCCAGGCCCTCCATCCTCTCCTCGCTCGCTCCTTCTCCACGCAGACGCGACGAAGCAGTCAGGTGTCGTCCATCTTTAACTTCCGGCTGAGGAGCCGAGGGTCGGAAGGCGAGATGGCGGACGACGAGTTCAGCGTTCCCGGCGACGTGGTGGACAGCGTCGGCGGCAGGACGTACAGCGGCGGGACGTTCAGCGGCATCCTGACCAACCCCTGGCCCAAACGCAGACTCAGCACCTACAGCACGGCCAGCAGGAACTCCCAGGTGAGCCGATGATCCACCAACACACCAAACTTTAGCTGCCTGATGACGTGATGTGGTTCTGGTTCTGGACCTGGACTGACTTACATCCAGACTCTGTTGTCAGGGAAGTTTTCGTCCTGAATCTCCTTCCATAGAGTTTTCTTTGGTGTGATTGGTCCATGTGAGAAACTGGATCGTCCTTTAAAAGGTCAAACATCAACAGGTCCCTGCTACAGAAACGTCACTGGAGGTCAAAGGTCAACATACAGTCTAACAATGGAAAGCAGAAAGGATTGATTGTTATTTTGCTTTTAGTCCATTTCACAGTAAACAGAACCACAAACATCCAGTGACTTTTAATGAGAGCAAAGTTTCTCTGTAAACTTCATGAACTGGATAAAAACTATAAAAACAGAAAACGATCATAACAGAATAAAAGTTTTAAAACATGTTTCTGCAGGTTTTTAAACACAGTAAACCTGCAGCTCCAAAATTAGTTACATCTCCATTTTCTACATTAAAATATTGTATTTTATTTATAGTTGTGCAGATAAAAAAAACAGAAACAACTACCTTTTGAATTAATGAAGAAGAAACTTATTGTTTTAGCATCAGCAGTAAAAACCTTCAGTGAATGATTTCTGTCTCTTCCTTCCATCATGGCCGCCGTTTACATCCAGCATCCCTCTGATTTGGCTTGGCTCCTCCCCCTTATGACATCACAGCTCAGGCAGTAAACATGGAGGCTCCTGTTTGGCCTTGCCGAACTTTTCTGTAGGGATGAACCCTCGTGTCCTTCTGCAGGCCTGTTGCCGTGGTAACCGTGGTTATCGCTGATTGGCCTGTGACTCCGCCCCACTGACACCTCTGACTCGTTAACCTCTGACCTCGGCCTTCTGATCCACCTCCAGGTGTTTTATCCCACCCTGAACGTCAACGGGAAGCTGTTCGTCTCCATGGACCAGAACGGGGTCTCCCCGCCGCCGCTGCAGGGGCAGCTGCCCGCCTGCACCATGGAGAAGGTCAAGGAGGAGAGCGTGAGTTTGGAAACACTGCTGCCTCCTGCAGCCGCAACACACACACGTCTGAATCAACGCATAGCTGCGCCCTGAAATCATGGACACACACACACACACACACACACACACACACACACACACACCAACTGGTTCAGATAACACCGCCACCCCAAGCATACCAACAGAGACACTGAGAGTCGCTCTGTTTACCAACCTGCTTCATCTTATTAATCAATCAGTTATTATTTTATGTTTCATCTGCGACCAAAATCACAACCTGAACCTGAACCTGAACCTGAACTGAACCTGAACTGAACCTGAACCTGAACTGAACCTGAACTGAACCTGAACTGAACCCAAACTGAACCTGAACTGAACCTGAACTGAACCTGAACCTGAACTGAACCTGAACCCGAACTGAACCTGAACCCGAACTGAACCTGAACTGAACCTGAACAGGACGAGTCCAAGTCCTTCCCCAGTCGTGTTTCCATAAACGATTTTTATGCCCTTTAGTTGGCCTGTCGCAATAAATCAATACATCAATAAATTAATAAATCTGTCACATGATAAATTAAGACAAGCTCAATAATTTCTATTTGAATAATTAATTGTTTTTCTCTTCCTACCAAAATCTGGATGATAAGTTTCAGTTTGACGGTTTTGGTTCCAGATAAATAATGTCAGTGTTTATAATGTCTGGGAGATTTTAGAGAAGGTTGATGGAAACACCGAAAAGACCTTCCTCAGTTTTGTAAAACGGTTTTTATGGTAGCCTGAGATGATCTGTGGATCTTCTGAGAGAGGTGAGGCGTTAAAGATGAAACGGAAACAGATTTATTGAAGCGGTTCTGATGCTGAGTCCGTCTCGTCCTCTGGTGGTTCTGTGCCTTACCAGAGGAACCAACCTGAATCCAAACCTGCAGGAGGGGGACTCTGCTACATGCTAGGCTACTTCCTGTTTACATGTTATGAATTAAGATCTTTATGAATAAACAAGTTTCAGAAGCATATTCATAGAAAGAAAACTGTGTGAACACATCGTAGTGAAGTGGAGACCAGACTGAGGTCAGACTGTGGTTCTGTTCTGGTTCTAGAAGATCTGGAGGAGTTTTAGGTTCTGGAGGTTTTACCTGAACGCCATGATGGATGGGTCCGAAGGTCCTAGTCAAAGTATGTTGTACTTCAGGTCTACCAGGAGTCCCTTGAAGTAAATGATATCAGGTTGACAGTTACTGGGCCAGCAGTTGCCTGAACAGACCATCCAGTATCACAGATTAGCCTTAGCAGGTTTAGCACTTTGACCTTTGACCCCGGGCCGACCCCAGCGGATGAGCGCTGTGCCTGTGTGCCGTTCCGTCCAGCACAGGTGAAAATCACATCTGAGGTTTGGGTCTGGCTGAGCGAATCGTTTGTGTTGAAGCTAACGCTAACGAGGCGACATTTGTTCCTGTCTGCTGACCTTAAAGCTGCGGCAGGCGGATTATATAATCCTGTTTCTGGAGCGTTCACAGACGAAACGCTGAAGAGGATTTTATTCAGCTCAGTCACTTTAAACAGTCAGGTTGGCGTCTGGATGGACGTTTCCTCTGGTTTCCTCAGACGATATTTATTCCCAGAAAAATTAAACTTGGCTTTTTTATCTGTTTTTCTTTGAAACAAGACAAACGTGCAGTTTATGTTTCAGATCTAAAATGATTCACAGCTCCATTTTCTACAGACGTCAGGCTTCTTTATTACATTATAATGTTTCGTTTGTAGAACAAACTTGTCTTCAACTTCACTGTTTATGTGAAAAAGTTTGGACATGAACTGCCTCTGGCTGCAGCTCCATTTGTCTGATTCAGGCCTGGACTTTGACTAGGCCACTGTAACACATGAATAGATATATTTTTTCCTGCTGGAAGGTGAACCTCCTCTCCAGCCTCGGCTCTTCAAACAGATTTTCATTTAGTTTGAATTTAACTCCATCTTCATCATCAGATTGGACTGGCCTCCCTGTCCCTCAGCATGATTCTGCCACCACCATGTCTCAGAATGTTGATGACATGTTGGTCAGAAAGTTCAACTTTCAGCTGATTGCTTCTCCTCCATGGTTTGTAGCAAACCAGAGTTCTTATGATGAAGCCTGTAAACTTTGAGTTTCTTCTTCCTGGTTCTCCGAGTCCAGAACCAGAACCAGAACCAGAGCTGATAGAATCAGATTACAGCTGGACTCTGGGTTCTGATTAGGAAGGCTGTTAGTTTCACTTATTTTTGTTTTGGGGTACCGGATTAAAGGGGGAAGGAAACAAAAGCACGCCACACTTTTCAGATTTTGAGTTTCTGTTTTGTTCTTCTCTTCCTGCTCTGCTGAGTCACATGAAACCCAACCAGACACTGAAGTTCGTTTGAAACCTGATTAAATGTGGAACCGTTTGGAGGAGTTCCTGTTTCAGGCGGAGAGCAGCTGGAGATGCTCTGATTCCTCCATGTTGGTTCTGCCGATCGAACCCGTCCTGCTCCGTCTAGAAAAGTTCTTTGCTTCATGAGCGGCGCTGCAGGGGCTGAGTGGGAGTTCTGTGCTGGTCTGAGCTCGGTTTATGGTGTCATGTTGTGACACAAAGCGTTTCTGCCTCCAACAACACAGACCTGCCGTCCTGCAGCTCTGAGTGGGAGGCGGACGCAGACAGCACATGCTTTATTAGCAGAGAAATGTCACCATGGCGACCTGCGGCCGCCGCAGGAAGCTGAGCGAGAGCTGGTGGGAGTTCACCGCTGCCAGAGAGTTTCCCTGGTGCTTTCCTGCGCCGGCAGACAGGACGGAGGCGGCGTGGGCGCCGACCTTCAGGGCCCTGCGTCACGGCCCGGCATCCTTACTGGAAGAGTTATACAATTACACCTGAGCAGGTGAGGGTCACCGAGAGTTCACCGAGAGGTCAGAGACTCACCTGGGAGCGCCGAGGTTCACCCTCACAGGGTTAATGTGGGAGAAGTTCTGGAGAACTGTTTCATTCATCCTCCTCAGGTAAACCGGCTGGATGGATCCATCTGACGGGTTTTGGTTAAAACAAATTTAAGTGAAACTAACACCTGAAGTGGGCGGAGCTTACGGGCGTGGCAATGGGAGGAGCTAAGAGGGATGTTGCCAGAAGATGCTAGCTTAGTGACTGTCGCGATATTTAGCAACGTTTCAGACTTTTTCTAAAAAGCAACTAGCAAGAAATCTAGCAACAGTTTATCAAAAACACCTAGCAACAACTTAGCAGCGTTTTTATGGGAAACGTTTCTGTGAAGCTCTGCAGCAGCTGCCCGTCTACTTGGAGACGAACAAAATGTCCGCCTGACAGGATGTGTGTTTGGAGGTCATTTCCTGTTGACCACAAGGCAACATGATCAGCTTCATGTTCAGGTTTATATCTGAGACCAGAAGCTCGTCTCTGATTGGATGATCAGCGTTGATAACATTATAGTATTTAATTATATTTTACACAGTAACCGTCAAAAGTTATAAAATCATAAACGTAGATGTAAATTTAATCAGCTTATATTAATTGGATTGGATTAAAAGTCTGGACTCTGTAGATCCTAATTTGATTGTAATTAATGTGAGCAGATAATCAATAATCAGATTTATTCCACTGGTTTTCTGAGCTCTAATAACAGAGCGGCTGGTAAACAGCAGGAATCACAGCTGGTAGAAACATGTACAGTTTCACTTTAACTAGTCCTCGTCCTGACTGGAGGTCAAAGGTCAGCTGAAATGACAGCAACCATTAAAAGTCTGTTAGTTAAGACCTGCAGGTCCCGTCTGTCTGCAGGGAGCAGGTCTCCAACTGATCGAACTGTTTCATCATTCTGCTCTCGCTCGTTCTGCTCTCACTCGTTCTGCTCTCGCTCGTTCTGCTCTCACTCGTTCTGCTCTCACTCGTTCTGCTCTGCTCTCGCTCATTCTGCTCTGCTCTCGCTCGTTCTGCTCTGCTCTCACTCGTTCTGCTCTCGCTCGTTCTGCTCTCGCTCGTTCTGCTCTGCTCTCACTCGTTCTGCTCTCGTTCGTTCTGCTCTGCTCTCGCTCATTCTGCTCTGCTCTCGCTCATTCTGCTCTCACTGGTTCTGCTCTGCTCTCGCTTTTTCTGCTCTGCTCTCGCTCGTTCTGCTCTGCTCTCGCTCGTTCTGTTCTCGCTCGTTCTGCTCTGCTCTCGCTTGTTCTGCTCTCGCTCGTTCTGCTCTCGCTCGTTCTGCTCTGCTCTCGCTCGTTCTGGTCTACTCTCGCTCGTTCTGCTCTCGCTCGTTCTGCTCTCGCTCGTTCTGCTCTGCTCTCGCTTGTTCTGCTCTCTCTCTCTAAGCGTCATTGTTTCATGAATTCTGCAGCAGGTTTTCAGGTTGGAGTCAAGTGGATGTTTCTCAGCTCATCTGAAACCTCAGCAGTCCTTTTCACCGCTGAGCTCCACATCCATTTCTCTCATCTATTGAACTCCAGTCATTACCTGCTCATCTGTTGCCGTGGCGATGGGAACTCCAACAATGGCAGCGTGGCGCGCTGCTTGACCCAACAGAAAGTGGAGAGCATGTTGCTGAATGAGCAGGAAGAGGCTTCAGATCCAGGATGGAAACTGAAACCAGCTTCCTGTCCAGCAGCAGGAAGTGGCCGAGGACACTTCCTGCTGCTTGCCGTCCGCTAACGTGTCCTCTGTGTGTCTCAGGTCCCGACGTCCACCACGGAGCTCAGCACCATGCTGCTGCCTCGACCTTCGTCCACGCAGGGGTCAGAGCGGAGGGGGAGGGCAATGAGCGCCGCCAGCTACCTGACCGACGTCATGGAGGGTGAGGAGCGGCGCCGCGGCCACACCTTCATCTGCAGCGCTGCTCTTAAAGGGACAGTGTCATGTAGAATCCACTCCTTTAGCCAAACATGTTTTAATGTTTTTCACTCAGAAACAAACATGGAGGTTTGATTTGATTCTTTCATGTATGTTTGAGAAACTCTTTAATCTCCATGGCAACCATTCAGCTGTTCAAAATGCCTGAATGGACCTAGCCCCGCCTTCAAGGCGCAGCTCCTCCCACACTCAGCTCCTTCAGACTAGCCAGCAGCAATTAGCAAACATCTGCTGAGCTCATTATAGGAGCTGCTGCTCAGAGCAACGCTGGTAAAAACATTAAAGGGTTAATAGAGGAGCCATGTTGGGATGACTTCTTGGAGGCGGAGCTTCAGAGAGAGCAGGAGGTTTTAAAGAGACAGAGGCCCAATTTCAAGGGCTTAAATTGGGCCCTCGGTTTAACGTTGTCTGCCCAGAGAGAGGCCAACTAGTGGTGGAAAGAACCGACCCGCACGACCTGAACCGGACCGCACCAACCTGCACCAAACTGACCCAAACCGACCTGCACCAACCTGAACCGACCCAAACCGACCTGAACCGACCCAAACTGACCTGCACCAACCTGAACCGACCCAAACCGACCTGAACCGACCCAAACTGACCTGAACCGACCCAAACTGACCTGCACCAACCTGAACCGACCCAAACCGACCTGAACCGACCCAAACCGACCCGCCCCGACCAGACGCAACCCAAAGTTACTCGGACCACCAAAATACTACCCAATCTACCCTCC